CCCGCCCCAGCGCCCGCAGCCGGCCGAGCTCCGCGCCCCGTGCCTCCGTCCTGGGTCGCGGTGGTAGGAGATGCGCCCGGCTCCACGGGACAGGCGGGCGCAGAGTGGGAGGTTCCGGCGCCTCCGCAGAGCATCGCGGGTCCGGGGCTGGGGGCGCCGCGGCTTGCTATGCTCTCCGCTCTTTCCCGGCTCTGAAGCCTCGAGAACAAGGCTAGGCAGCAGTAGTTTAATGGGCAGTTTGCCTGCTGGGAACTAGGGGCCTGCTGGGGTCTCAGTTCTTGGCTGGCCCCGAAACACGAGGTTGCCAGGCGCGTGACGGCAGCAGGTAGGAGTGAGCCGCTGGTGCAGTGATGAGCAGGGAAGGAAGGGCACTGGCTGTTGGCCTGTGAACCTAGGCAAGAAGGACCAGCCAACACAATCCAGACCAAGGTCCGTGGGCCCAGCTCGGTCCTGGGCGGCTGGTCAGTGGAATCGACCTGCAGGTGTGGCTCTTGTCACTCCTGGCTTCAGGACAGATCCTGCTGCCCAGGGCACCGCCCTCAGTCCTCCAGGAGAGTGCGCCTGATTGGAGCCGGGGGAGGGGGTGGGGGTGGTGGGGGTGGGGGGGTGCCCGACTCAGCATGGCGGCTATGCATGTCTAGTGTGCCTTCGAGAGCAGTGGGGAGCCAGGGGAAGTCATGGCCTTGGGAATGTCCTCTGATGAAAAAAGAACCCGCAGGCTTATAAAATAACTTTTGTGTGGAACGTTGGTGTGTTGAAAAGCAGTTCTGTGTGCTTTTCCCCCTTGGTGTGAATCAGCAGTGCTGAGGCAGCAGGCGTGATACAGAAGTGTGATCAGAGACCGTCTGGAATCACCAAACTCCAGGGAAACTAGAGGTGGCAGCAAGCCAGTGAAGAGGACAGGAGCTGGGGGCGGTGGCACTGGTGGCAGCCCAGCAGGCGCCCCTCATCTCAGGGCCCTAATCCTGGCTCCAGCCGGGTGGTCAGGGCAGCTGCAAGGTCTTCTGCGCGAGCAGAGCCCACAGTCCTGAGCGGTTCTTCGCTGTGTTTGGGTCCTCTCCCCCCATCCAAGGGGAGAAATCTAGATGAGGTTTAAGAATTAGTACTTTAGGGCTTCCCTAGGGCTTCCCTGGTGGCGCAGTGGTTGAGAGTCCTCCTGCCGATGCAGGGGACACGGATTCGTGCCTCGGTCCGGGAAGATCCCACATTCCGCGGAACGGCTAGGCCCGTGAGCCATGGTCGCTGAGCCTGCGCGTCCGGAGCCTGTGCTCCGCAACGGAAGAGGCGGCAACA